TACCACCCCAGCAGTCCTCCAGGACAAAGGGTGTGTGTGTGTTTATGTCTGGACACTTAGATGAAGGTGGATGGGGTGGGTAATATCATACTGAAAGTGCAACGCATCAGCACTCCAGTTCAAGTGAGATGCAGTCTGAGATTGCAGCCAGCATCCATTAATCAAAATGACAGCGGCTGGCGGAGCAGGTGAAAAAAAAAATGGCTACGGGAGAAAAATACATGAATTAGAAATTCAGTACAGAAGGACACAGACAAGAGCATGTACAGTTCAGTCATGTTTCGCTCGTGACCAAATCCGTGTTTTTAAATCTTTGAAATAAATCACATACATTCTGGTTCATATATTTTTCGTTTCTAATGAAATTTTGTGGTTTTCGTTCGGAAATTCATTATACAACGTGTAAATGTCTTCCTAGAGCATGTTGGGGAGATTTTCATTGTTTTGAACGACTGAACGAGTTTGAGATTCAATGCAGCAATTTGACATTTAATTCGTGAACGGGTGAGGTATTTCATTTTGGAGTTTGTTACGTGAGATTTGTCATGCATATTTTAACCGTGAACGCTTGATGTTTAACAAATCGATTGAGTGATGACATGAATGGTTAGGAACACAGAAATACACACGCCTGTCGTAACAAAAGGACACTGAAGAAAACTGGAAGAAAATGATGAGCAAATCTAATATAGGTACCTTTCAACTAAGTGTTTGTTGAACGTATACAGAGCTATACGGCCCATTCACACAAGGACAATAAAGTTTTAATAATCAGTCTAATTCTCTAAGAACAGGAAAGTCCACACTACAACAACTGTTTAACAAAGATAAAGAGAGACAATATCATTGGAAATTAGAGATAAAACATGGACAGTCGATCAGAATCTGTCTGGCTTTAAGTCTTTCCCTGCCACTGACGGAACTTTCCATCATTATGAAACAACACTTCTCAGAAATTCACGTCATTTTTGAGACCGGGAAAGCTTCAGGTCGGAGTAATAGGTGCAGAGTGCCAAAAGGTGAATTGCTACAACAGAAACAGTGATTTATGCATTAACGAAGTACACATGATTATGAGAAGATGACGATATGGGTGGGGTGCCCACAGCATGTAAATATAGTCGCATGCGTCATTCCCTTTGTTCAGTCCAGCTCTTCACCAAGCCGAGGTGTTGTACCTCGTTTCATAATTCATTTCATTTAGCTGACGCTTTTATCCAAAGCGACTTACAGTTGCTATACATGTCAGAGGTCGCACGCCACTGGAGCAACTAGGGGTTAAGTGTCTTGCTCAGGGACATATTAGTGTCTCACAGTGGATTCAAACCCGGGTCTCTCACGCCAAAGGCATGTGTCTTATCCACTGCGCCATCACCACCCCAGGGTTTAGGGTTTCCCTCCTTATGGGAACAGTAGTTATTTACATTACTCAATGTACCCATTCAGCCAGTTCACCTGGTACAACACATGACTATGGGACATATATTCACATCCCACAAAGTTGATGAACTAAACGCAAGGGACCAGCACCACCACATACCCCTTTTCCTTTTTCATGGGATCGAAGGCCCCGGATTAAAAAAAATCTGTGGTGAGCACAACAGATCTGTAAACACAAACTAGTCTGTAAACTGGACAAAGGTGCACGGTGATGCCCAACTGGCATCCACGTGAAAACCTTAAACCATGCCCATGATGTTTCCATGCCCCTTGCAGAGTGCGCACACACTCCAGGCAGAACCAACTCCTTATATGCTATACACATATAGCTTTCTACAATCCAGTGGGAAAGACATCACTTAACAAAAAGCTGGTCAGATGAGTGGCACAGGGCACAAAGCAAGTGTCCTGTCTTACTCTGAGTCAGACTTTACAGGACAGGCAGCTCAAAGGAGACTGCACTCCTGACATGACTTTAGGCGTATATGCCATGTTCGGAGCCCTCACTTCACTACCAACCACCACCTCGGAGGAGGAGTGATCTGCCTGCTTGAAAAAAACATATCAGAGCATTCCTCACCCACATTCAGCGAGACAGAATCCTTATCGTGAACACTACACTAACAAATCGTCAAATCTGCCGACACATCCCGTTTCCTTGGTTAAAATCACAATTTTCTCACAATTTACAAATAGTTGGAAACATAGGGGATATTGTAAGTAGCCAACTAAACAAAATATATAACATTGGCCAAGTGGTTTTTGGATATTTTACTGCAAAAATCTGTATTAAAAAAAAAATGTGTTCAATTTACAGTAAAATAGAAACATATCATATTAAATACGGTAGCAAGACTTACGGTGAGAAGGTTTAACAGACTAAACTTAAGTTTACAAATATAGACCATGAAGCTGCACAGTGTCATTCACTCAAATGTTAAACACCGTCATGGTAACACACATGAAATTTTAAACAAAATCAATAAACCTTAATTTAACAACATTAGATGTCACATAAAACCCTAATGTGCATAACTGATTAGAAAAAGACTAAGCAAACTATGAAGAAACAAATTATTTCAACAAAAATACATCAAATGCGAAGTGTCAAGCAGGGAACTGTGGGAATGTCAATTTACGTTTTTTTTTCACTGTAAATCATTATACAATGAGTTGTTCATTTTCACTTTAAAAACGGTAAATTTAACAGTATTTTACAGTAAAATTACCATTCACCATTATATATATCAGTTATTTACCGTATATAGTAAGCCAAATATAACGGTCTTTTACTGTTAAAATCACAATATTTTTTTACAGTGGATTGTACCTTTAAGAAAATGAAAATGTTTTACTGCAAAAAAAACACACACACACACACACAAATATCATGGTTAAACCATGGTAACAACAAATTAACCATGGTTTTGCTACACTAACCACCGTAGTTTAACCATGGCATTTGTAGTAAAACTGTGGTAATAAAAATGGTAATCAAAAAAAAAAAACATTGGTTACTACTTTTAATATAAAACCATGGTTAATTTCAGTCGGGCATAACAATTTGTGTGTGTATTGTTTAAAAGCAGAGACTGTTCTTTCTTCTGATAAATTGCATGTTCAGATATTCATACACCAAAATACGTAATGTTATCGTTCTTGAATTAATTTTGCACAGGCCTTTACTGAGATGAACCCCCATAAACTACTAACGTTACAGCTAAAAATTATATAGGCTACATGTAGAGGGACGTTGTTTCCCTCTACAGGACACAAACAATAAAAATGATGCAATAATACAACGTGCATTAAGCTTGTTTTACCTGTAGTTCCTATTTTTAACACTACTGGGTAAACAGGCAGAACGGAGGAGTTCAAAGACACAAGAATGAAGAAGTCTCAACGGGCGCGGGAGACGGAGACAACGCCCCTGCGAACGACTGCCGCTCAACGTCATCAGACTGACAGACCGCCTCGCAAGCCGATTGGCTGTCCAGCAAATAAGGAAACGACGGATGCGATGGCAACAGGCTCTAGCGACAGCGTGTGCGCTTTGTTTCCATGGCAGCATGCCCCTTAGATACAGCTCTCTGGTTGGTCCGCGGCACGCGGGTTCTCTCTCAGCCGCTGTTGTTATGCTACCCCAGCATTCGGGATTGGGGGCGCGCGCATTCACGGGTCTCTAGCAGTCTTTTTTCCCGCCTCTTGGTGGAGAGTGTTGCTGGGCACATTAGACAGGAACTGTAAACAAAAAATGGCTTAAGCCACCCTGCCCCCCTCCATATCCACTATCCACTTGTTATTGAACCAGTTTTCCAGAGGGTTGGAGCAGGGATGTTTGACGAAATGTCAAAAACAAACAAGTGGAGGGAAAAACAACAACACGTGTGATGCTTTACCATTGTATTTACGTGCAGTTTCACCCTGTGCATCACATGACAACAACACAAGGATCACTTCTGACACATAAGATGGTGACAAACACATGCTTTCCATTAATAGTGTTTCCTCTAACATTCAGTAACCTACAGCAAAATGTAAAGAACAATAAATTGTTGATATATCATCTAATATATGCATGTATCCATGCCCAAGGACATCATTTAGAATGTGTTTTATGGCATTAATAAAAGGAAGGACACTACAGATGTGTGAGTCACTTGCAAAAGACTGCATAGTAAATGCATTAAAGTCAGACAAAATGATCTTACACTAAAGAGTCCAAAAACCTCATTCATGACAGACATTACCCTCAGTCAACATAAACAACAGTCATTTTTCAGAACTGCACTGGAGGTTAGTTTCAATCTCCAGTAGGCGTTGTCCTATTATCACAGCTAGGGATTTTATCTGCAAGGTATATTAGAAAATGACATTGGCATAAGGACATGACTATAGAAATAATAATAATAAAAACACATAATTGATAGAATACAATGTAAACTAAAACATATTTTCACACTAGGCTGCTGAAGACATTTCATCATCACCCACAGGAATCTTATTGTAAATCTTATCAGGGGGTTTCATTTGATTTATTTGACAAACAACATAGACATGGAACATTTAATTAAAACATTAAAATATCTCAAACAGACTGTCAGCACTCCCTTCTAGAGCAAATTCTTTAACAGTTCCTAATATCTATTGTTTGCCGGACTCGGTGACCAAACAAAGAGCTCTAGGATCACCACAAGAGCGCCATCTGCTGTTTACTCATGTGTTTTAAAACAGCAAAAAGAGCAGATATTCCTTTTCTACATATTTATATCTCTTCTTTGTACCCCCAAACTAAAGCACATTATTATTAGAGATAAATTAGTTTGAATTTATTTTATTAAAAAAAATACACATATATCTTATCTAATGTTTTAAATACAATTAATTTCTATAATTTGTTTTATTTTTTCTGTCATATTCTATACGCACTCAATATTGGCATTTATCTCTACATTTGTAGTGCAAAAGAAATTGCTTATTTTTAAACAGAGAGAGAGACATGATTTACATCGGTTTACATCATCCCCATGGATCAATAATTAAACGGTCTCCTACTTTACCTCTGTCATCTGCTGCTCCACAGTGTTCTGGTACTCCAACGTCACTGGTCTGTCTTGTGTGTCTAATTCTGGCATCTGCTGGCCTGGACTGCCCAATACATAGCTATAGAGAGGAAAACACATGACCTCAATGAGAATTGTGAGATATGGTAAACATGCAAAAATCCCAAGATAAACAGCACACAAGCTTTTGCACAATAGGCTACTTACCTTTCAATATTTGCAACGTTAAAGCAGAAAATGGATCTCTTGAAATCAAGCTTTTTGGGGGTTGATATGTACATGATTCCTAATTCTGCACCACACCCACGGCAGGTGAGATTAACAACGAGGCTAAACATGAGGGACAATTTTACAGAGACTTTGATTTCATGTTTTGGTGGTTAAAATCACATCTATGACATATACTGTATATAAACACATATCTCACCATCCAAGCTCCTTTTGGGTCCCAGAAACAAAGGGCTCTTTCCCAACGACAATATTGTCAGTGATACCTAAAATTCAAAAAAACATTAGTCACACTCCTTTGTGTAGCGTTAGTACATGCCTATATCTATAATTACAGTTTCAGCTAGTAACTTTTGTTTTGTTGTTTATCCAGAATTGTTTTATGCTTAACAAATTCATGCAAAAAAGTATATTTAGATGTTATCATTATAAATGAAAAAAAAATAACATTAACCACCATTCAAAAGTTTAAGGTCTCTGACATTGAGGTCTGCATTTAATCATAAATACAGTAAAAAGGCAACTGTTAAAAATTATAACAATTTACATACAATAACTGTTTTGTACTTTAACATTTTAAAGCGTATTTTATTCCTGTGACGGCTCAGATAGATTTTCAGCATCATTACTTCAAAGTTCAAAAATCATTCCAATAAGCAGATTTGGTGCTCAACTTTTCTTATTATCAATGTTGAAAACAGTTGTTTTGCTTAATTTGTAAACCGTGATTTTTTTATAGCATTATAAAAGTATTTACGGCCATTTTTTGTCAATTTAACGCGCCTCTGCTACATAAGTATTACTTTATTTTATGTTAAAACGTACTGACCTCAAACTTATGTTATGAAAGCCAGTGTATATCAACCCAAGACATAACAGGTTATAACCAGCACTTAACATACAACAGCAATAAAAAAAACGTAATAATCTTTTACGTTTGAGCATGATTTGGTTCTGCTCGTCATCACTGCCTGCCCAGGACAGACTGTCGCCGATGGGCAGTTTGCATTTGCCGCACATAAACACTGCTGGACCGTCGATTTCGCCATCTTCCTCCACTCTGTTGCTGCTGTCAACGGCACTCTCGCAAACAGAATATGTTTTATAGCAACAATCGTCCGGAACTTTAATTTTCCCAGCCATATTATTTTCAACACTAGTCAATTGTTTTCAAAAGTACGCGGGCAGCTGTACTTCTGCTGTTTTGCAGTGAGTAAATATGGAAACACAAGAGCATAGCGCCCTCTGCTGCAACGGAGTGGCAATTTCACTTCATTCTCAATGCGATGATCGTACCCTCTCGGTTCGAATGGTTTTACTAGAATATTATAAACATGACCAAACTCATAATACGCAGGCAATAAATTATTAAAACACACACACAAATATGAATAAACATTTTCATCTTTTAAATTAGGCTATTTTGTTAACTTTATAAAGGTTCAGGGGTCCCAGAAGTGTAGCTTCAAAGACAGTCGGTTCAATAATTATATAAGTATATGAGTATTTGTAAAGGCAGTTTATTCAGATTGGTTACAACTGTTGGCAGTGCCCCTCTCGACACCCACAACACTGCCAATTTTAGGCATTCACCGCCACGCCCCGTTCAAATGTGTAATTCCTCATCATCCTCAAAAATCACTTTCTGAGTGTCAATAAGTCTCTTGTTATTATTTGTAGTCTTGCTAAAGACCATAAAATCATCAATATTCGAATACATAATGCGAGAGTCGCTGTTTTCAGGCTCAACTGACTTGTTGCGCACTTGTTATTTCCCATAGGCTGCAACACAGTGACTGCATGCGTCGCTTTGAAATGTTTACTTTTTGCCTTATATCTTCGTCTGACTTCTTTTTAGGTTTGAAACGATTCCGAGGATTTCGCTTCCCTAGTCTTTGGCTTGAAAGGAGTGGGATGTAAAAGTCGTGGTATGAGAATAATATACTTTAGCGGGGTGAGATGATCCCTGGCAGGTGAGAGAGAGACGGGAATTCGTGACAGCCTTTCTTTCACCAGCACGCGCTCGAATGCACGCGGCTTGATGCAGAAATAATTGAAGAATTTGAACATGATCTCAGCGCAACACCCGAGAAGCTGCCGTGCACCTGGGCTGTGTGTTCAAATACTTTACACTGTTCTCATACTGTGGACCAAAGAAATGGACGGACTCTCGGATTTCTCAAGTGAGTCAGTGATGATGATGAACAGACTAAAAAATATTTATGAGTGCAATATTCAATAACAATCATAATGGAAAACGATAAACTAATACATACAAACAATTTTTATTAATTTAATTTGATTGTGGTTTTATTAAGAATACGATCTAAAATAAATACATATGGATCCATGCCAATTCTCCGTGACGGCTTCATGTTTTAAAAATTGTATACAATTTCTTACATATTTTTTTTTCTTTAATAGCACTGAAATGGCATAAATACATCATAAGCATATTTATTAAACTTTTTAATAATAACTTTTATTAATTTAAAAACTTTCCTAAATATATAAGTAATATGTATATGAATACTGGACAATCACACCACATAGACACTTTTGATGTGAAGTCTCAAAAAAAAAAAAAAAGAGTTTAATTTTGAAAACCAAAAAGTAGTTCATTGTAGAAGAGGTGTAACCAAATAATATTTTTGCATTGATATATATAATCACATCCAACATAAAAGTTTGTGTTTACATAATATATGTGGGTACACTGTGTATAATTATTTTGTATATATATATAAATACACACACATGCATGTATATTTAAGGAAAAAATATTATTTATATATAAAATAGTTACAGTTCTATAAAATATAAATTATATATGAATCTATATACAGTATATTCATGAAAATATTTCTTAAATATATACAAGCATGTATGTGTGTATTTATATATATATAAAATAATTATACACAGTGCACGCACATATATTATGTAAACACAAACTTTTCTTTTGGATGCAATTAATCGTTTGACAGCCCATATATATATATATATACACACACACTGTATATATATATATATATATGTACACAACTCATTAGATCCATTAGATATATTGGATCTAATATATCTAGAATATATAGTATATTACACCATCTATAGACTATAAAATAGTCTCGTCTTCTATAAAGTAGAAGAGGTAAAATAATATTTAGCATGTGTTCTAAATCGCATTCATAATGTATTTTTAATGAACTTATTAGTTCCTCCCTCCCAAACCCCTTTCATTAGATTATCTGTTTAGGATCATCAACAGTCAATCAGCTCAAGTCTGTGATGGAGATCTCCTGCTCCTCAGGTGTCCACGACACTCCACTATAACTATTCAGTCTGCATTTTATGGACAGAGTGAAACCCTTCCCGGGATCGTGCCAGGAATGAGATGCCTGTGGCGTAATCACAGCTGTTCTGCTGCCACAGCGCTGCCGGTGAGAAGCCTGAGCCTTGCTTTCAGGAAAATTGACCTTTAATTGTGCATCCACTGAACACAAACTTGATTCTTTTATTACCTTTTAAATAGTCCCACTTCTGTGGAAGATCTTTTACACTTCTGGCTCAGAAAATATAATGTGTTTTCCAGAATCAGGAGAAGGCTACATTGCATAACACACAATCTATGGTCTTTGATTATCCCTCTCTGTTAGAAAGTGCTCTCTGAATGCCAGGGTCATAGAGATTGCCAGTTCCTGGTTAATCATCAAGTCTTTGGCGAAGATCCTTGTCCTGAAACCCCTAAATTCCTCCATGTGTCATACAGGTGTAAACCTAGTAAGTATTTCCTTCTTTAAAGCCTTAATTGATTATTTCTTCCTCAAATATTTGCTCATCTAATAATATTTTGCCTTACAGCAGAGCACAAGAAGAGAGTAACATGTGAGGGAGATCGACTTCTGCTGCACTGCAAGTATCCAAAGGTGCTGAATATCTACTCTGCTGTTTATGGTAGACCGCTGGAGGAGAAAGACTTGTGCCCAGCAGAGGAGCGAGAACCTCCACCGTTTGGTATGATTTTAGGTTTAAGTCAGGTTTATGTTTAATGGTAACAATAGGCTGAATGCAAATAATATAATAACATGCTCAAAAAATGCAATGCATAACTGGAATAACAGAATAAATAGACCAATTTTTGCATTGAGTCCATGCAGTCTATTTATAAAGTTATAAAGGACTTTTTACTGTATAATAAGACTTTTTTTTCTTTTTTTTGGGCAGAATGTCTTTACCATGGAGCTGGTGATGTGGTATCCAAAATCTGCTATGGCAAACAGAGATGTTTGTTTACTGTAGACCAGGAACATTTCAAAGACCCCTGCCCTCCTGGAACAAAAAAGTATATCACCGTCCTTTACGCATGCGGTATGAACGCTCTTATATCCATCAGAATCTTCTTAAAGCAAAACCTATTTGAGTATGTACTTGAAATGTCTTGAATTTTAAAGCTACAGCATGACATGCCATCTTCTTTTTAAATAAGTTTCCCATTGATTGAGAGCGTGGGAAAAGACTAACATATGGCCTTTGTCCCTTCTCAGAATGTTGATTTACCCGTCTGTTTTCTTCCCGACAAGACAAAATGTGTTTGGGAATAAAAATAGGGAATGAGCCTGGCATTTTGTACGTTGCTCTCAGGGGCTTCCTGTGTAAGACTTCCTGTGATTGCTGTAAATGCCAGGCTTTTGTTACTGATTGAAGGCAGAATCAGTTCAAAGGAAAAATAAAGATTACTCATCATCGTCATATTGAAAGATCCTGGGAGATACCAACTGGGAGTTGGAAGTTGTTAACTTGTACTGTGCCTTTTTTCAGTTCCACAAAGTTTACTCAAAGAGGCTGATCCCAGAAGTTTCCAAACTACCTCAGTTCCCAACCAAAGCACCAAAAAAGGTGACCATACAGTTCCCTTTATATAGAACTGTGCACTGGAGGTAAATTAACAATGAAACTGTCTGATTTTGTTGTTATTTGTAGGGGAACAGCCAGTCGTAAGAAGTTCAAAGTTTCCAGAGAACAGGATTATTGTCAGCAATTCTTTAATGGCTTATGTCTACATTACAGGTAAACTTTTATGATCCCAGCCAACATAAAGGGAATATAATTTTGAATAAAATTCCCATTAAAACGGATGTTTATTCAAAATGGTTTGTATAAAATTCTATAATTGCATTAAAAATTCTAGCATTATTTACTCAAACCTCTATGCTATAAGTTCCCCCATGCAATACAGTTATTTTATTAAACTGTTTATGAACTGTTTAACTCAAAATATAATTGTTTGTGTTCCTCTTAAAAAAAGTCACTGCATACGCATGAATGACAATTTTTTTTTTTTGTGAACAATTCTACACAATTACTTTTCTCGTTCTCAGAGCATCCGGAGATGGCAGGACTGCTCTTCACGTCAAGTGTTTGCGTGGGCCTTCTGATTGTTCTAATAGCCGTTTCAACGCAGCTAACCTGCAGTAGACATCTAAATACACCTAGAACATTTAGGAAGAAGAGTAGAACAACTCATGTGGAAGAGGAAGAGCCAATGAACCAGGATAATGATGAGGATGAGAAAGGGTCGCTGATGGACAGTTCTAACCTGGCCGAGATAGACAGGAAGGTGTATTGCTGGGAAGATGTGACGTACACCACAGAGGCAGCAGAGCTGATGGAGAGAATTGAACGCAGAGAGCTTGTGATTCAGGAAATCAGGATGAACGCATACCTCAATGGAAACACATGCATCCTGCAGTCATACATGCCAGCTATTACACAGAATGTGCAGTAGCTGTAATTTCAACCAAATTGTATGTTTTCTGATACCAAAACACTGCAATGAAAGGTGAAGTGAGTCATTTCCGCAACACTTTTGCTAGTTAAAACTGTCTAGAAACAGGCTTCCTGAACACTCCCCTCATCTGCTATTAGTCAGCCAAATAAATGACCCTGCCCCAAACACACATTATTTGTTGAGCTAATGTTGCTCTTGTTGGGCAGCTCAAATAAGTGAAGAAAATATCAAATTTTAAGACATTTAAAATTTTAAAAAAACATTGCCAGGTGTCTTACTTAAAAAAAACAGAGGACGCTAGCGATACATGATGTGTTTTAGTGCCTAAAGGGTTAGTTCACCCAAAAATGAATGTCGTTCCAAGCCCGTGAGACTGTTCATCTTCAGAACACAGTTTAAGATATTTTAGATTTAGTCCGAGAGCTTTCTGTCCCTCCATTGAAAATGTATGTACGGTATACTGTCCTTGCCCAGAAAGGAAATAAAGACATCAAAGTAGCCCACGTGACATCAGTGGGTTAGTTACAATGTTTTGAAGCATGGAAAATACATTTTGGTCCAAAAATAACAAAAACTACGACTTTATTCAGCATTGTATTGTCTTCCGGTTCTGTTGTCAATCCGCGTTCACGAGTCCGCAGTCATTAATGACGTAATTTTCATTTTTGGGTGAACTAACCCTTTACATGAAAAGTTTATTTATATAAAAGTAGCTGTTGAATAATATAAGTTGTATTGAGTGTAAATGCAAATTAAGATGGCAAAACATTTTTTTAATTAAAAGTGTATTATATTTAAATGTACAAGAATTAAACAAACAGAATGTTCTTTTATTACACATCACACTCAACTTTCCTCTAACCTCTTTCTAGTGAAACCACATCTCCCGATACTGTAACCTCTCTCTTGCCTTGAGGAAAATAATATGTTCAGTAACTCCTTCCCAACGCTCTCCAAATGAACTCTGTGGTGCCACAGCAATCCTGAGTGCTGCTCAGAAACATCCTGTCTTTAAACGGCATCAAGTTTCAATTGAGCAATTGCCAGAAGCACAGACAAAGAAAGGAAAGGTGTTGCATCCTTTTGCCAATGAATTAGTACAGAGAAATCTTGTCTCATGCTTGCATTACACACACTTTTACACACAGACAAATTCATTAAAGAATTAGTTCACTTCAGAATTAAAATTTCCTGATAATTTACTCATTTCCACATCATCCAAGATAATAATGTCTTTTTTTCTTCAGTCGAAAAGGTTTTTCAGGAAAAATTAGAAAGATTTTTCTCCATTGGACTTCAAAAGGAGATTAAAGCCTCAAAGCTCTATATGATCCATGCCGAGGAATAAGAGTTATCTAGCCAAACGATCGGCCATTGTCGAAAAAATACAAATTTATATATTTTTTTAACCACAGGCTCGACTTGCACTAACTGTGATTCGCCACGTAATCACGAATGGGTCACATGTGACGTAGACGGAAGTACAGACCTAGTGTTTACAAAGCAAACGTGCAAAGATTAAGTCAAACGCCCTTTAGAAATGAAATAAAGGTAAAACATTTTCCGCCTATGTCAAGTTACTGCCTGACCGAAGATTACCTCGTGGACGTGCATTTGTGGTTAAAGTATATAAATGTGTATTTGTTTTTTTTTAGAAAATGACCGATCATTTAGGCTAGATAAGACTCTTATTCCGCGGCTGTAGAGCCCTTTAAAGCTGCATTAAAACTGCAATTTGAACCCGTTGGTTCCCGTTGAAGCCCACTATATGGAAAAAAATCCTGGAATGTTTTAATTTCTTTTCGACTGAAGAAAGAAAGGCATGAACATCTTGGATGACATGGAAGTGAATACATTTTAATTCTGAAGTGAACTACTCCTTGAAGGCACCGAATTGCATAAAAACTGCTGTAGAAGAGTTTAAGGTCTCTGACATACCACACAGTTATTGCAGAAAAGCTGTGATTTTCTCTGTTATTCTATCTTGGGCCCCATTTGATATTTGTGAGTCCCTGGAACTGTCTTTTTAGGGCCTGTCTATCCGACCAACTGGACTGAAGATGTGTGTCATCATCTACCTCTTCTAGTTTCTAGAGCAAAACAGACAAAACAATAATGAATGTGCTACAATAATATAGAAATACATAGACACACAAAATACAATATACAAAGAGGATATAAAATAAAAACAAAAGAATTAGAAGCTTCACTCACTTTCAGGTCTTCCTGCCTCTTGTAAAAGTGCAGCATCATCTGTTTTTGTTCATCTTCACTTACTAGAGGTTCTCGCGCTGGTGCCCCTTGGCCTCTCTATAATGAAACCACGAAGATGGTGATCAGTTTTCAATTCATTTAATGGACAAACCACGGCCAAAGTGAATTATTTGCATATATGTTCAAACACCAGGGGCCGGTTGCATCAATTAATAGTTAGTCATCACATTTTTGACTGTTCATACATTTTGTAAGGCAGATATATAAGATGTATCTAATTTGATACAGAAAAGCAAGACTAATTACCCCTAACTAACTGCTAGTCTTAGTCTTAAAACACTGTCTTAACATGTTTATGCAACTGGCCCCAAATCAAGGTCCCAAGAAAATAACTAAAATTCACACCGGACACTTACTTTCTGAATTTTCACTATAATTTTCGTTTTCTCATTTCTCCCAACATAATCCTGCAGCTTTTTGCCCCTCTGCAGTTCTTTAGATGCCCACCACAGCTGAGCATCTTCATCTGGGATCACTTGTAATGAGGCCTGCAGTGGAAAGCCTTCATTTCAGTATTAAAGCTCTTGTTATGTTCATCAAACAAATAAGGGTAAGTAAATATACAAGATAAGTAAATGACGTCATTTTAAATTTGTAAAATCTCATACCTGTGTTCCAGTAAGATCCTCTTGATTTTCAATCTCCATCCTAATTGGATCATGTGGAGGCAGTCCCATTGGGTAAACTATCATCACAGCTCCTCGCAACTGGTCTAGAGCCTCTTTGACCATATCCATGGTAACACAGACATTTGCTCTTACTTGTTTCTATAGGCAGAAGAAAATTCATATATATAAACATAAATATACAGTATATACACAATAATATCAGAAGGGTAACAATGTAAGTATTCTGTATTAAAATCAGCTTCATACATTTGAGATTAAAGCCTTGGCTTCCTCCATTGTTTTCCTTAAAACATCTTTCATCTTCTCGTTTGGAGCTAAACGGAAAAGCAGAGTACAGTTATAGCAATTAATAAGGCAATTCAAACTTAAACTTTAAATGTGACATGATGACTAACGTTACCATGTCCATTTCGACGTCCAATCTCATCCTTCTTAAACTCAGCACCACCACTGGGAATGCAGCGGTCTTCCCATTCATCCTTTAGTTTGAGCTCCATGATCTGATCATCGCTCAGGCCCTGCATATTTGGTGGAAGAGAGATCCCATGATCTGCCAGCTCTGGAATTTCTATGGAGATACAAATGAAAAGTGTCATGGTTATGCATTTTTACACTTGTGAATAACTTACTTGACTTCTATTGTTAACTTGTAAGTTAACTAACTTCCACTGACAAAATACATGCATTTTTAAAAACATTTATGTATGAACTTATCGATCAAGAACATAAAAAGCGGCTAAACCCAAAGAATATGAGGCTGTTTTTCAACACAAACATACACAAAATCACTGTCATACCAGTGCAGATCCTGTCCACTTTTAATCTTCCATTGTAGATCTCGCTGATCTGCTGGGACAGCGTCTCAATCGAGACATCCACTGTAGTATTGAAGAGAAACTGACTCTCATCTCCTCGTTTGACGTGCAGCTGAACCATCTCTCACTTGCTGAATCAGTCCTGTGCAGGAATATTATAAATCGGAGATTTGAAGAGAAAGTAAATATAAAATCACCGGACGACAAAGAAGACGTTTTAGATGTCACGCAACTCGTTTGTGTGTGTTGCCATGGCACCCATAACATCGCGTTTCAAGAATATTCTAGCATGCTGTGCGGGCACGTAGCAGAAAATATAAGTTTGAGGTTTAGAAATTAATAATAAAGGTAATAGACATAGATAAATAGTTATTTTAAACACATTCCCACGATCAAATTAATCAAAAAATATACTTACTCTTGATTCGTGCACAAACAAGCAGCAGCAGTAACGATACTATTTCCACAGGAAGTGGCTGCTTCAAAATAAAAGTCTATTTAAACGCTCAACGTTTTGCTTCACCAAAGAGTGAAAAGAGGTTCACTCGTTTTTAATTTCATACAAAGTAGTTTACTTAATCAATTTAACACGAATTTTTTAGTTTTCAATAATGCCACATACTCATGCGCATTCACTTATATAATATACGTGCATGATGAATATTCCATAATAGAGGTTGAAGATACCAGATCAAGTTACTCACTGGTTACTGTATGATTTATTATAATTTATATATTTTTTAAAATAATTTAAATTGTATAATTTATTTATGATTATATAATCATAAATATAATAAAACCCTGCTGCTAAACCGCAACAACGTTAATAAATCTAATTAATTTAGACGTGTAAATTATTTGTTTATTATAATCAGACAAATTCAGGTATTAGTTTGAGCTCTTTATCAGAGTATATTTTCATATAGCAAAAGTTCGTTTATTTTAAGTGAGTGATTATGTAAGACAGGCAAGTAAAATACGTACAAGCCATGGTGAGGATTGGTGGATAGAGGGACAAGGGGTGTGTCGTAGCAGGAATATTCACGTGTTGGTCAGCATGGGACTCTATTTACCTCCTCACACTCGGCGAATCTAGAGCAGAGTGACATTAATCTTCACAGAAGACATAGAAAGTTTATTATTTTAACAAGAGAGATGAAACACAGTAGTGTCCCAGCTTTTGTCAGCAAACTTTGGGCACTTGTAGAGGCTGAGTCAACGAACGAACTGATCTGCTGGAGTCAGGTGAGTGTTTTATGCAGAATACAGATGATTTAATTTAACTGCTGTTTATATTAGATAATTATTATATAGTGCGGTTGTTTATTTTCAGTATGTCTTATATCGTAATATAAACAACAAACAGTACAAATAATATTACAATAATTATATAATATTAAAATAATTATTCTTCGGAATATAAACTTCACAATAATAATACAAAACTGCACAGAATTGCTTGTTATTCATTTAACATTGCCCAGTAGACGTTTATTCTGATGTAATCAGATGACATTTTAGTAATTCATAC